ACGCATGCTGTGCCACGCCCACGAGCTCCCCAATGGGGGCGTCAGGTGGCAAAAGGACGCGGCACAGCGACACCTGACTAATTTATGTTCATTAAGCAGGCGTTAAGTCGCCTTGAGAGCAGCTGGCACAACGCGGGCTCCTCATTTGCATACGCTCGAGGGGACGGGTCCAAAAAGGGGTTATGGGGCTGACTGGGTGACTGGGGTGAGTGGGGTGTGTTCCACAGCTTTACACACACAGCTGATTACGCTTTACGTGCCGTAATGCCGAGGTGACAAACCAAAATGTGTAGTTCCGTGTAATTTCGGAAAGGTTGCCAGGACACCGGCCAGGAGCGGAGGACAGGAGCAGCCAGGAGATGGGAAAGAAACCCAAGATTAATATGCAAATTCATGTAAAGCATTAAACGTGAGCGGAGCAACATTTTGTGTGTGTGCATCCGAGTGAAGCGCTGTGCACAGGAAAAGCAAAGGGCATAAATTTATTAGAATATATAGTCTTTAAAATTGCACCTATCTATGAAGCTCAGCTTGGACAGCAATTCAATTTTGTACCTTTGTAGTAACACATCTTAAATATTTATAGTCTGAGGGTACAGATACAATTTTTCGCCAAGTGTGGCTGTGTGCGAGCAAATTACCGTAAAGCTGGCAAGAGAAAAGACACGGGAAAATCAATTTCCCAGCACCAAATCTCCACCGCTCCTTCTAATTTGCGCTTAGTGCGTTTCCGTGTCCTTCAGCCGGCGAGAAGAGCTGGAATTAAAGCCAGAACTTTGGGCAGCCGGCAGTGGAAGACTCGAGGCACTCGGGACCAACTCGAAACCAAAGCCAAAATCCCATCAAAATCTATCAAAATCGCTTACGCAAATCGCAAGAGCATAGCAAGCTCTTAATGGCGAAGGGCCAGAGTCTCCGACTTTCCACTATCCCTTTATCTCTATTTCAGCTGCTCCGCTTCCATTAACATCGCTCGCACCGAAAGCTGAAAATCCAATAAGGGATGAGCTGCTGCCGCAGCAGACTGGTGAAAGTTTGTTAAAAAAACGAAAACACTTCGCACCCAAAGTGGCGCCAACTGACAGCTTAGGTCACCGCCCACCGCCCACAACCTGCACCCAGTCACCCAACCACCCAACCACCCACCAGCCAAACACAACAATGCCCCCAGGATGTCAGGCAGTCAGTCAATTGTAGTTTTCGTGGCTGTTACTCAAAGTTTTAATTACACAGTCACTGCAAGGGAGCCGATCCCCCAGGCCTTGGGGTGGCTCATGGGTGGTGGGTGGTGGGTGGTGGGGCCTCGGAACAGCCGTCTACAAGGCCACTGACACTCGGGTGCTGTCAATGGAACATCAGGCCGGTCTTGTTCGGTGTCTGCTGCCCCATCCCCGCCAGATGTTGCGCAGCTTGCACTTGTTTTTGGCCAGTTGGCGGTGTTCTGCATGTGCACCATCCTGATTCGAATGCGGATAGATATCACTGCCATGAGGAACTTTACTGGGAACAGAGCACAGACTTTAATAGTAATAGTATGGGGTTATCCACAGCCAGCACTTCAATCACGATGATAAATCAATGAAAGGCTTGTTGGGTTTTCATTGGGAAGCAATAAGGCGTCGTACTATCGCTGTTGAGTGACATTATTCCAAATTTAAAATTGATTGTTCTGTCATCAGCAAAACAATTATTTTCAATCTTAGTGGGCACTTGCATTATACAGGAGTAAAAAAGATCTAATAATCATTACAGAAATGAAATGATAAATCAGGAATTTGTATAATCACTCCTAAATAATCCTGTATATGTTTGAGCTTCGTATTTCAAAGATTTGCCATCATACAAACATTATTTTCGTAGCTTATTAGTTTACAAAAATTGTACATTTATTAGGTTTTTATGAGCACGCTCTAAGTTGAACTTTGAATATCTTCCCCAGCGAACTTTTCCCTAACTTCATTTATTTTCCCCAACTCATTATTGCAGTTTCCCGAGTACTGGCCAAAAACTTTGCGCCATGAAAAGTCATTTGCCAGCCATTGGCGAGACGTGCGACTCTCGTGGCTGCCAAATTCTTGGGGACTTCCGACAGGGCGGAGTGCCAGAAGCAGCACCAGGAGGAGCCACAGAAGGAGTGCCAGGAGGAGCACCAGGAGGAGCCACTGGAGGAGTACTTGGAGGATGCCTGGCGGGGGAATGTGTCGCGGTTTGTCAGCTTGGCGCGTCGCCCCAATGATGGAGTGCGGCATTGTTGCATTTTAATTGAAATTTCTTTGTGGACTTGGCGCGACAAAGCAGCAACAACAACCGCTAACGAGTGCACAGAATGATGGCAAATAAAAGCAAACAGGCGAACAAACAACCAGAAACATGGCGAACACTGTGCCAATGCCAAAGTGGCAATACATAATAATGAATGAATAAAGCGGGCAAAGCAATAACACCGGGGGGAATCTCTGTGACACTTGCCCTAGGAAGCCAGTCGGGTATGCTGACTATTGCGATGTGTTCGCTTGATTTTCCCAAGATGAAACAGCTAAGAATGTGTGTTGTCAATTTTTGGTTGTTCCAAGTGGCAATGCCCAATTCCCAGCTCAATCCTGATCCAGCTGGACATGCAGCTGTACATCATCTCGCCGATCCTGTTGTTTTCCCCCTACAAAAGGGGATAAATTTTCATCATTTCACCTGCAGCCTGTCTCTTTGCCACCATGATGGTCATGATGGTGCTGTCTCTTCTTCCGGAGAAGCAATGGGAAATGGATACTATGCAAGCCATGCACCTTGGCTAATAGGGTTCCTCTGACACACAATTTTCAGATGCTCATATTGGATTCACCTTGCTGTTTTCCTATGTGATGCATCTGCTCATTGAGGACCCATTCGGAGGACTTGACATTTTCCTGAGGCCAAAGGCAAAAAGCCCTCGTATCGAAAAACAGACATCCCGTATTGATGATAAGGAACCTAGGGAGAAGAGCTGGTGGAACCTACCACCTCTACCGTAGATTAGTTAAAAACGGGCTGAAATTATTATTCTGTATTAACCTTATAAATATGGTAAAAATACTTTCCGGTATTTGGAAGCCATGTTATCAAACATTTAAAATAAAAATGTCAAACGGTATCTGAAAGGGTATTTCAAATTCGTGTTGGCTGGCTCGGACAGTCCCATCAGCTTTTTTGGGGTCGAGGTTCGAAATCCGTCGCATTTTTGCGGCTCAACGCAAATATAATAATAAATTTTGCATATTGCCGCGGCTATTATTTTTCATAAATGAAACAGTTGTCAATGGCTGGGCCGCATTCGCCGCCTACCGATGTCCTTCAATGGCTATTTTTGTTGCTGTCTATGCCTTTGTTGTTCCTGTTTTTATGCGCATCCTGTTGCCTTTTTGTCACCGTTTATTGTTTTTCCCTGACCAAGGTTATGGGGCTTGGGGCCTCGCGATGCGGTCACTTTATTGTTTGCCGGATACGTTCCGGCACATTTCGAAAAGTGCCCCCGAACCACCAAAGGATGCCGTCGAAGGAGCGGGTGAGTGGCGCGACGCGATGGAAACCACGTAATTTGCCGTCTGATGAAGATTTACGACATGAAAGCCGCAAAAATAAACGCCAAATACACGAAGGCCACATAAAGCTATCCGCCCCCGCCCACTTCGCCACCCACTGAGACCCATGATGGATGGCCAGCCGGCTGAACCTGAACCCTATCCAACTTCCTTTCATGCCATTCTCCCCCCGGTCATTTATGTAAATTTGCTAAGAAAATTAAGCCCGAAATGAAGAGATTTGTCTCGGCTCTATTAGCCGAGATGGAGGAGCCTAGGAGCCCCAAGTTCAGCTAGGAGCCCGGCCAGCCCGGCATTTTTGGCCCGGAAAATATCCCTCTAGAGAAACGAAATTGGAGCAGGAAGATCTCATGCAGTGTAAGAAGTGGTACCTCTAAAGGATGTACAAGCCAAATCTCCCTTTTGTTCTATGACGTAACTATCTATGTTGTTATTAAAGCAATTCACCAAAAATAGTTCTAACCAATTTGTGCTCAATAAAATGATAAATTTATAATAACATTATAAAGTTAAATTTCTGCAACTTTTGATGCTGGTAGCAGATTTTTCTCTCTGTTAGTTTCCTGTGTACTTTATGGGCGTTAACAAGCCTTCTTGCATGTGTGGCCCAAATGAGGGGGCGTGGTGCGTTCCAGACCCTAAAATAAGGACAAAACAAGAGGTTCACGCTCGGAAACACGGATGCAGCATGTCTCATGTTAGTATCTGTTTTTAATGGCAACTCCATTAGATGAGCAGGATCTGCCGCCCACCCAAAGGCCGGAAGAGAAGTCCTGCCCCGCCCCCAGCTGCCTATAAACACTCCTACGATGCGGCGACTGCTTGTCCAATAAATAATTCATGTCTGCCCAGAAGAGCCGCCCCACAGAATCCCCCATCCGCACCCAGCTCAAAAATCGTAATGCGGATGCAGACAGAGGAAACTGGGCATGTGGATGAGGATGTGGATTTGGATGTGGATGTGGAAACGGAAACGTAATGCAATTCACAGGGCCAAATGAAGGGCTTAATGCATGTATTCATTGCCTCGATGTTTACCAGAATTTGGCTGGGACATTGGCCCCCAATTCAGAGATTACAATTATTCTATTAACAGTTTGCATGGGGACACGCAATAAGCCATAAATTAATATGCTTATACGTTGTAATCTAATGCAATAAGCTGGCTTATGGATGGATGCACTTGAGTTATCGGATAAAGAATCTTAATTTCCAAATAAATAATTGATTGACCAGCTCGAACTGGCTACTTCCGACATGGGATCCATCAGATAGACCAAATTTTGTGGCCAGATTCGAAGTTTGTGTTTCGAAATCAACGGGAATCAGTAGTTTTTATGGTTTCCCAATTTGGATGATATAATTTAAGATATCTGCGTACTGTAAACTATTTTATAGGCCATATTCAAATCAAAACTCAACCACATCTGGGAAATCTAATTTTAATTAAAAGTAATCCATGGTAAAATATAATATTAGTACTAGCCTACAGAAACAAGGGTCCAGTTCAGGATTTCCCGCCTTGTTGGATGTCTGAGCCAGCTGTAGCTCCTTTATCACCCGGCCTATCTACATTACAGGAGACATCGAACTAAAGCTAGCTAGGATTTGGCATGTAGTGGAGTTGAGTTCAGTGTGGAGCGTTAAATTCTGTGAGGTGACCCGTAGGCCTATTGCAGCTTGAGGAGAACGTGGCCGGCGTGCCGTTTGTACAGGACCAGCGACATGTTGACCAAAAAGGGGGCGGCCAGCCAAAAGAGCCGTGTGCCGATGCCCGTGTCCTCGCGATGGAAGATCCCGGAGGCAGCACCTCGGCCCGTATTGCAGAAGGACTCCTCGCAGCAGGAGGTGCAGGAATAGAGCTTGGTCCGCTCGCCAATGATGATGCAGCCGGGCTCACAGTTGGCGGTACATCGCCGGTCCAGGGACCACATCTTGGGCGAACTGGTGGAGTTCTCCGTGCTGGTGGTGTACGAGAATCGCTTGACCTGGCATTGAGTGGATGGATGGGCAATGGTTAGTGGTTCGAGAACTGAAGCTATAGCATCAGCCATGCTTACTCACCATGCAGATGAACTCCTCGCCCTGGCACTTCTTCATCAGCGCGGAATCGTTCCGGATCGCCACGTCCACGCAGGCCTCCCCATCATCCATCGTGTGGCAGGCGAAGCACCACAGCTTGTTCACCCTTTCGATGGCTGCCGCCGTGCGGTGGATGTGCCCGCTGGTCAGCGAGGTGCTGGGACCGGGTCCGGGCGAACTGGTGCCCGTCACTGGACATCGCAGATGACATGGGAGATGTTATTGATTTTTCTACGCCAAGGTCGCGCCTCTACCAGGACTCACCATTATTCACGCAGGCCGTGAAGACGATGGACGAACTGGTCAGCAGGAAGTAGAGCAGCGTGACGAAGGGCCGGATCATCCTGCTGCTGGCCACCCAATCCGTTGGCTAATCTAACGTGGCCCGAGATTCTCTTGTTTACGTGCTCCTCATTCCGCGAACCCCACTGCTCTCCATCTGACACTTGGACCACGAATGTCAGACGCAGTTCCAGAGGAGAAGGACATGCGCAGTGGCTTCCGCAAGTAGTCGGCATACGAACCAGGATTTTCAGAAATATACCACACTTCTAGATACTACTATGTTTTTTAAAAATGGTAATCGGCTTCAAAAAGTATTTGTATTGCTGGTAACTTTCTTTTCCAAATCGAATAAAACACTCAAATAACTTGTAGTTGTTCTTTACACCTAGGAAACCTAAGCTAAACTAAAACAACATATATTAGAATGCTATAGTCGAGTTCCCCGACTATCAGATACCCGTTACTCACTACATTAAGTATAACTACTCACGTTACATTAATTTTTTTGAATTTCCACATTACAAAATTACAAAAAATTTAATAATAAATAAATTTCTAAATTTGAATGCAGATTTTTAGAGAATTGCACCAGAAACATTTCGAGGTATGCCACTTCAAAATCCGATTAATATAAGTTGAGTTATGGACTTTAGAACTTCAGCCTTGGGACATTTTTGAATTTCTACAATGTCATAACATCAGAAAAAATACAAAAAATGTAAAAAAAAATAAAATTCTAAATTTGAATGCAGATTTTTAGAGAATTGCTCCAGAAACATTTAGAGGTATGCCACTTCAAAATCCGATTAATATAAGTTGAGTTATGGACTTTAGAACTACAGCCTTGGGACATTTTTGAATTTCTACAATGTCATACATCAGAAAAATTACAAAAAATTCGAAAAAAAATAAATTTCTAAATTTGAATGCAGATTTTTAGAGAATCGCTCCAGAAACATTTAGAGGTATGCCACTTCAAAATCCGATTAATATAAGTTGAGTTATGGACTTTAGAACTTCAGCCTTGGGACTTTTTTGAATTTCTACAACATCATACATCAGAAAAATTACAAAAAATTTAAAAAAAAATAAATTTCTAAATTTAAATGCAGATTTTTAGAGAATTGCTCCAGAAACATTTAGAGGTATGCCACTTCAAAATCCGATTAATATAAGTTGAGTTATGGACTTTAGAACTTCAGCCTTGGGACATTTTTGAATTTCTACAATGTCATACATCAGAAAAATTACAAAAAATTAAAAAAAAAATAAATTTCTAAATTTGAATGCAGATTTTTAGAGAATTGCACCAGAAACATTTAGAGGTATGCCACTTCAAAATCCGATTAATATAAGTTGAGTTATGGACTTTAGAACTTCAGCCTTGGGACATTTTTGAATTTCTACAATGTCATACATCAGAAAAATTACAAAATATTCAAAAAAAAATAAATTTCTAAATTTGAATGCAGATTTTTAGAGAATTGCACCAGAAACATTTAGAGGTATGCCACTTCAAAATCCGATTAATATAAGTTGAGTTATGGACTTTAGAACTTCAGCTTTGGGACATTTTTTGAATTTCTACAATGTCATAACATCAGAAAAAATACAAAAAATGTAAAAAAAAATAAAATTCTAAATTTGAATGCAGATTTTTAGAGAATTGCTCCTGAAACATTTAGAGGTATGCCACTTCAAAATCCGATTAATATAAGTTGAGTTATGGACTTTAGAACTTCAGCCTTGGGACATTTTTGAATTTCTACAATACATCAGAAAAATTACAAAAAATTCGAAAAAAAATAAATTTCTAAATTTGAATGCAGATTTTTAGAGAATCGCTCCAGATACATTTAGAGGTATGCCACTTCAAAATCCGATTAAGATAAGTTGAGTTATGATGTATAGAACTTCAGCCTTAGGACATTTTTGGACTTTTTGAATTTTCACATCATACATCAGAAAAATAACAACAAAATTGAAAAAAAAATACATTTTTAAATTTGAATGCAGATTTTTAGAGAATTGCGCCAGAAACATTTAGAGCTATGCCACTTCAAAATCCGATTAAGATAAGTATACTTATGGAGTATAGAACTTCAGCCTTGGGACATTTTTTAACTTTTTGAATTTTTACATCATACATCAGAAAATTGATCAAGAATATATATCATTTTACTCTACGAGTAAAGGGTATAATTAAGGGCTAGGCACTGCTCCAAAATAAGTAATGGGTTTATTACGAAATAAACAAATTGTGAAAAATGTCCATACCCGATAAAACAATTTTAATAAACATGCATACAGCTGAGGACAAAGAACTGGACAGGATAATTTGGCAAGCGCAACCGAGAGATCATGGAGCTCAGTTCAGAAACTGGGAACTAGTAGAACTAGTAGAACTAGTAGAGGCGCAGGTACTGCAGCGCCTGGCGACTCTGCATCGGATACAGCTCGCCCACATTGTACAGGAGGTCCACCACGTGGGTGGGCCGCAGCATCCGCCAGGGCATGTACTTGAGCGTCTTCTTGTCGCAGTGCACATCCGTCTCCGGCTCCAGGGGCAGTGGCAATTCGTTGAACAGCATCCTGCCGTCCACACTGCGCTGCAAGGTGCAGGGAAGACCGATCTGGTCGGCCAAGCCCTTGAAGAGGATCGCCCGCTCGAACTGGCAGCCACTGCGCACCATGCCCAGTGGTATGAAGTTGGTGTGCAGCACGTGGCGCAGATCCTGCAGATGACAGCGGACCGTATTCCGGCAGCACTCCTCCGACGAATTCAGGTCCAGAATCTTGAGATTCTCGCTCAGGACGGCGTTCACCGCCTGAGCGATCAGCTTGCTCCGCTTGGCCACGTTCTCAAAGTCAATTGAGCGACGCACCCGCTCGGGATTCTCCACCAAGCCGTGCATCTGTGGGAAGTCACATTAAAGACTGGAATAGATAGTTGCAGTAGAAGATCAACCCACCGCTAGTGTCTGGTTGAGTGCCTCCAAATACTGCGGCAAGTTGTTATCTCCAGGTCGCTTACAGTAGCCCCAGCCCTGATCGCCAGGTAAATCCGTGATGGTGCTCAAGCAACGCAGCGGCACGGCGATCACGTCGTTCTGATTCGGCTTGGGACGATCGAAGTTCATCACCAGGACGGCGTCCAAAGGCGAACAATCGTTGCGCAGAATGTCCTGGAATTTGCGGAAGTCCTCAAACTTCCTGCGCGACACATAAAAGTCCTTGCCGGCCGTGATGTCCGTAAAGGTGAGGCAGTTGCGGATGGCGAACTTCATCGTGGGGCACTTGGACAGGATGCTCTCGATGGCCGGGCCCCAGGTGGAAATGCAGAAGGCGTGCTTCTGGAAATCCAGCAATCTGGAATGGAATGGTTTACGTACACTTCAGTGAAAAAACGGATGCTACTTACACTTCCATGATCCCACGGTCAATGTAGGCATCTATGAACTCGTTGAAGCGCGTGGTCTGTAGAATGAAGTTGGTCACCGAAGTCTTCACCAGATTGGACAGGGACTTCAGGGCCCGCTTTATGGAGGAGACTATGTAGTTGGCCAGCAATGTCTCACGCACCGGAGCCTCGTCGATCAGAGTGCAGAGGCACCGGAAGATGTTGTTCACCAGGATGGAGTGGGCAAAGGAACGCTGTCGTCGGTATATGGTTAGCTTGGGAGGTGCACAATAATCTCAGACTAATCACCATTAGAAGCTGGGCAAGCTGTTCGGTAAGTGAACTGTATTCCCCTAGGATCGTGCGGTACTCCTCGTTCTGAGCCAGGCTCTCGATGATCGTCAGCAGCGATAGGATGAGATCAATGGACAGAGTGGGCTGTCCCTGCGCAATGACCGCGGTGAGGACAACAGCGATGTCCTGCGCCTGCAGCTCGGCAGCTGTGTCGCGGAAGGCAGCCACGAGGAGACGGGACAGGAACTCAGCCGCCTGCTCGCGGGCCTTGATGGCCACATCCGGTGACATGAGGATGGCCACCAGTTTCCTGATTGCGCCCTCCTGATAGGCGGCCACAATTCGACGCAGCGCATCCGGATGGTGGGACATGCGATGGAGGCCCTGGATCACGAAGGCAGCTGGAGCCGGCTTGTTCTGCATTAAACAGTTGAGGAACATGTCCGTGATTTCGGCCTTGTTCATCCGCGGCAGGAACTGCTCGTACTGTGCCGTCTCCGCGAAGATCGATATGATGGTGCAGCGCATCTCCAGCGGCAGCAGTTCCGCGTGATTGCGCAGCTGCTCGACGACCTGGTCGAATAGGTTCTGCTCGAAGAACAGTTTGGTCATCTTTTCGGATCGCAGGGCTGTGGCCAGAACCTCGATGACATCGGCAGCCTCCGGCCCCTGAGGATTCTCGCAGAAAACTTTGACCAACTGCTCCAGCACGAAGTAGCAGCGATGCAGTGGCTCGAAGACGCTGTCGTCGCCAGTGTCCGCCAGCAGAGTCTTCAATGTTTTTAGGGCCGCCTTGCGGATCTCCTGGAACTCGTTGGTCACCTCACAGATAATACGATCCACCGGGAAATCCGGCAATGTGGTAAACTCCAGCATCTGATCTGCACTCTGGACCAGAAGCATCCGATGCAGTGCCTCAATGGAGTTGAACACCGTATCCGGATTCTCCGAATTAACGAACACCAACTTGAATTTCTCCAGGAACTCAGTGGCCTCCACAATGCCATGGGCCATCTGGGGATCCTTGAGGCACACATTGAGTATATAGGTCAAGTACTCGATGCAGAAGTCGTCCACCTCTTTAAGGTAGAACTTGCACGCCTTCTCCAGGATCTGATCAACTTGTTCCGGCTCGTAGGTGGACAAGTCGGTGTTGTCCAGCAGAGCAGTGAGCAAGTACAGAGCAAAGCGCCGGATCATCGTGTTCTCCGACGCGATGAACAGATCCTTCTCCAGCAGCAGCTCCAACAAGCCATGGGCCCTTAGCTCCAGCACATTCACATCCTGGCGGCGGGCAAAGTCCGTTATGTGGCTGAAAATGGTCAGCAGGACGCACTCCTCCTTGGAGCTCAGCAGGAGCAGGGCTGTGTCCAGCTTCTTGATCGGAACACTCACCTCCGTGAAGGACTTCTCCTCGGACTTGGTGCGATCCGGATAAGTGGTCTTGGCTTCGTAGACGCGCTTCGAGGCTCGG